GTATAATATGTCAAACATATACCAATTCGGACTGTAAATAAGTTTTTTCGATTATATTTGTCTGAGAGCCTCTTGCAGGTTAAAAACTAAATTGCCCACATCTACATACTCTATCTTTTTTTCATCAGAATCGTTAACGGTTGAGAAAGTATCTTGAAGGTTTAAAACAAAAGATAATATTTCCTTCCCTAACGGCGGTTTTACTATTTTTTTATCACACGACCGGGCTACCAGGTTATACGATATTTTATGTTACTAATATGTGTTCTATAAGTGAAACATTTCTGATCATAAATATCATCCTTTGGGATAGATCTAAATTCCTGCGCCACTTATCGGAAGACAAACACACTGATCTTTCTAAAAACTTTTGCACAAAATGACAATCATTAAAATTTGGGAGAAAATGGTTCCCAACTGAATGATTCTTGCAATTTTATAAGTGTATAAAATTCTGTTAACTTATAATAAGTGGTTCCAGAGATAAGCGATATAAGAATTTCAGTTTGTATGGGCGGTGCCACGCCCCCCTTTTCCAAAATCTACCACTCTTCGCTTTAAGTACGGTATTGACAACATATGTTGCTGTGTCAATTTTCTGGACGTTAGCATAAGTGGTTCCAGAGAAAAGCGATATGAGAATTTCAGTTTGTATGGGCGGTGCCACACCCCCCTTTCCAAAATCTACCACTCTTCGCCGAAAGTGTGGTATTGACAACATATGTTGCTGTGTCAAATTTTCTGGAAGTCAGCATAAGTGGTTACAGAGAAAAGCGATATGAGAATTTCAATTTGTATGGTCTTTGAGCACCCTGTATTAGTTACATTAGAAAATTGAAAATTGCTGTAAATATCAAAAATACCAAAAGGAAAAACTGAGGGGGCGCCCCGTTTTCTACGATGACATTATTTTTCTGTCATACAAAATTGGACCACTCTAATGTACATATATATTTATTTCATACTCATATATATGACTTTTTTTTAATTAAGAGTCAAACCAAATACATAAATGTATTAGCGGAGCTCACTCTTCGTAGCAAATGTTTGGGGAAATGTTTAGTTATTTGCCCACTGTTTTTGGGTTAGTGGGCGGAGGAGTGGGTCTTAATATCCAACCCACTGGAAAGAGCACAGTTCACACTTAGTAAAAAGTCACACCTGACCCCTCAAAATAAACAGTATATTTGTGCAGAACATCTTTCCGTGTTGGGGACCGAAAATTACAAAATTTGGCTTTACAATAAAGAGTAGACCCTTGACTACAAGTGTTTTTAAAAAATTTTTCTATCGGGTCACCCATTCGGACACAATAGTACGAAATCATTGGGCAAATAACTAAACCCTACCCAATGTTTGCTTTTCCAACCACAAATCGCATAAATAAGTTTATCGATAGGATTGCACCTTCACACCGAACTATGCTACAAAGAGTGAAATCCGCTTTTGTAATTTTGTAGGACGTATGGAATGAAATATGTGATGGAAGCAATACATTACTTTACATTTTACATTCCAAAGTAATGCTAACATAATCGGTCAAAATAAAGCGCTCAGTAAAAAAATATTGAGTAAAAATATAAAATTGTAATAGCGAAAATAATAACAGACTAAATTTTTATTATATTTCATTTCCTTTAGCGTAATCATGAGTGGTTTGCAAAGACTTTCGCGTCTTATTGCAATGGAATCGCAAAGAACAATGAGGAACAGCCTTCGCCAAAAGCGCAAAGCCTTGAGAGAGTCTACGGAAGTCTGAAGAGAGGTTTGTGGAGCCTTTCAGGCTCACTAAAGAAATGTGTAACAGTATCTTTGATAATTATAAATTGCATAAATTGTAACATATATGTTCAAACAACAAAACATTTTGATAGCATGTGAATTTATAGCATTTTATAAATTCAAATGTTTTTAACACACCAGTGGCTCGCCAACTTCCGTTTGACCGACAACTGCAACTGTGGTCATAACGCCAATGATGCGCTCATCGAGGGTACTCAGATGCTTCGCAGTAATTGACGAATTTACTCCGCTTCGCTCAATAGAATTTCTCAAATCTTGCGATTTTTGTTTGGCCTTGCTCCTATCGTTATCCGGAAACAATTTTAAGAATCGTAATGCTACTTATGTAAATTATCAAAGAAATGTACCTCATATTTCCCCACGCTCTTTTCCATCCTTCACCGTCTTTAATGGCTCCTCCACGAGCGTTTAGTTTCTGGGCAAGATGGTTCCACTGCTCCAGCAAACTTTTGCACCCGGTGTCATTCACGAATCTTAAAAAAAAGAACTTAAACGATTTCATTTACGAGAAAATCTTTTCCATACCTGTCATGAGCAAATTCCCTGTGTTCTTCCAAGTATTGAACAAGCATATATTTTTGCTCCTTTGTCACCCTTCTACTGTTGCCGTTTTCCATTTTTACTATGAATTACAAAAATTGTTATTTAATCGAGTATTTTAAACAAACAACAATCTAAATATTACCTACTTTTTGTTGATTTACTCTTTTAGCACCGAATTTTTGTCGTCGTCAAATTTGCAGGCTTTTAAGCGAAAAAAAAGTAATTTTAGCGATGGAAAAAACGCTGGAATCGCCATTTTAGCTGTATGAGCTATCAAAAACAGTTCACTCACTTTATCCGGGTTCATTTTGTTCATCGCTAAAATCTGTAAAAAAAAAATTAACCAAAAATGGCGATTTTTAGAGTGGCATTTTCATGATAGAATCGCGAAAATCGCTGAAAATTGCTAAAATTCTTTTAGCACTTTTTGGCGTTGGAGTTTAAGCGGTAGCGAATGTTGGAATCCGGGTGCTGGATTGTATTTTTTTTGTACCGCATCGGTTTTATTTCATTTTTTCTTTTAATAATATATTTTAAAAAACGTAAACACGTCACTTCACTACTACTACTTCATGTCGTTGGCATTTGCATTTCATTTATAAGTTTAAGTTATTTATGTTTATAAATAACTCGCTCTCAAAACTTATTAAAGGTTTATTTGAAAAAAAAAAAAAACTTTTAATAAGCTTAATATTAAAAATGCTTATTTAACGCTTATTATAGCAAACTTACTTTAAGTTATTTTTAAAAACATTTACTGAAATGCTTGTTGGGATACTTTATATATGCCTTGTTTAGTTTTCACAAAAATCGAATTGATGTACGCAGAAAGGAATTCCGCTTATCTTCTGCGACAACACAGAAAGGAGAATTCTACTTAGGGAGGATTATATTTGTATCATATTAAAGGGAATCAAATTTGCTGTCAAATGAGATCAAAATTTTTAAAATCCATGCATTCGTTTTCAAAAAATTTTGATTTAAAGAATTGTTTAATTAGAACTATGACCTTAATAACTTTTGTAGTTGTTGTTTCCGCAAAAAAATATACCGTTATGTTCAGCTCAATCATCTCTATCGACCCCAATATTTATTTTTTTATTTGAGAACTAGCCAATGCCCGCTTACTTCGCGGCGCCTAATAAGAGCTTTTGCGTTGGCCTATGCAAAAGAGCGTTTAAAAACAAAACTAGTCTGTAAAGTCAAAATTTGATTTAAGTTGAAACCACTAAGGCGCAGTATCCTGCTCACATATAGGCTAATAATAGTAACGCTGGGATACCATATGGAATACCAATCCCTTTCGGTGTCATGAGCTTTACCGATGGTCTTATTTCCACCTGTGAGATCTCTGCCAGGCATGCGTAATCTTTTTGTATGATCTTGCAACTACAACATTGGTGCGATGCGTATGCCAATAAAAGTTCTTATAGCTATAACTCAAGAGCACAGAAGTGCGTTTTCTGTTATAGGAGGGCCAAGAATCCTCGCTGTCCCACAGGATGAAAAGTTTTCCGGTACATTGCTAAATGAGTCGTGTGATCTCTTAAGTACCTTTCAAATGAAGCAATTGATATACCTACGGTGATCTTTCCTTGTTAATTCACCACTTTTACAATTCGTGGTAAAATTTATGAACTGATTTCTGGGTAGATGCAAGATCGCATGATCGTGCATGAGGGCGTCAGAAAAACTTAACCTCATCCTTCATTAAGAGATCTGAAAACTAAATTCGTATAACTTAAACATAGTGCCAAAGCAGACCAACCACACGGGGTTTCTATACATTTCTTCTGCAGCGCCATCCATTGGGTTCATTTTCTGCAAAACCCTTGCTTACCATAAAATGAATACGTGTTATGAATTTCAACCCGAACTCCAGCGGCACTAATCAGGTAAATTTTAATCAAAAGAATTTTCCATCATGCAGGTACATAGCTCACATTTAAAATTTGAACGAAATCGGTTAATAAATACGATTTTTATAAATAACTCTACTCCAGAACCACCTAGCGAGTTTTCTAGTAGCACGTAATTGGGCCATATACATATGTATGTAAGATAACCTCCGACAATTTGACGGAACTCTGTTTAGTGTTTTTTGAGTTTATTCCGAACAACGAAAACGGCTATCATTTTATGCAAATAGGTATGTAGATAGGACAGTTTATAGCGAAACTCGTAAAAGCAAAGCTCCATTCTTTGTGAAAAATTAAAAAAAAATTCTTCAAAATTTTCACATAAATTTTACCTTACTGAAAATTAAAGACAAAGTTACAATAGTTCAATGGGAATTAGAAATCTAGGAGAAAATGGTTCCCAATCGAATGATACTTGCGCGTTTACGTAAATGTATATCGAGCCAGCCTTCCCAATAATTACCACTTTTCGCCATAACTACGGAATTGATAACATATGTAGCTGTGCAATCAGTGCTAAGTTTCAGTTCCCCAGCGTAATTAGTTTTAGAGATATATTGGTTTTTTACGAGCTACATACCGAGTAAATTTTTGGTCAGAATATTTATTTTCAAGGTGTTGCCAAATATGAACCAAGTCGATGCAGCCGTTTAGTAGTTTAGTGAAATACATTGTAAAGAGAACTGTATGAAATTGTAAAACGTGACGTCTCAGATTTCTTAATTTTTTGGCAGCAACAACGAAAAGTTTTAATTTTTTTAGCGAAAAACCTTCCACACAGAAATAAAAAAAATTAAGTTTGTGGTTATATCAAGACGAAATTTTGAGAACGATCCGTTGCTAACTCTAAATATAAACAACGACGCACTGGAAAAAGTTAATACGTTCAAATACCTAGGAATAATGATCGACGATAAACTGAAACAAAAAAAATGGATTCTATATTTTCTATTAGAGCTCTAGCAATATGTACATCGGTGAAAACTACATTTAACTCCAAACACATAGTTGCCAACTTGGTGCTTTAAGCACTAGATTTAGTGCTTTTTGAAAATTAAAACGCCAAAAAAAATTGTTTAGTGTCTAGTGCTTTTTTTAGTGCTCTTCTTCTGAACTCAAATTTCTCATAGATAATTAAAACATGAAATAATTTGAAATATTTAAAGCTGTAGCAGCACTGAATTTAAAAGAATCTACATTCATTTTTTCGTTTGTTGCGATTAGATTTTTCTTTCTCTAAATGTACCAGTTTTAACCTGTAGTACCTAATTCGCTATAAATAAATATTATTTATTTTTTTACTTTTGTTAAATACAAACTGTTGTGAAAAAAAGTATCCTTTGGTACAAAAAAATTAGTGCTTTTAGTAAGGTAAAACGCTTTTTTCCCCAAGTTTTGGTGCTTTTTGAAACTCAGAAGTTGGCAACACTGTCCATACATTAGCTTTCGCGTGATACGCTTACAAACATACAGACAAACATACCAAAATTTTATATTTGGCTTCTGTTGATCTAATAAACCCCCTATTAATTTTTCTTTAACATCTATTATGTACAGATATCGGCCTGTTGCAATTTTATTATTCTCAAATACTCTCGCTTGATACCCATATGGCAACACTTAATTTATATTATAAATTAACTGAATTAAAGTTTTCAAATAAGTGGCAACCCGCTTCAAGAATATTTTCAAAAGTAAGCTTCCTAATCCTCTTTAGTTTAATATTCGTATTGCAATATTTCATTTATTTTACAAATTTTAATGAATACAATTTTTCAATCAGTTGGCAAATCCCCTAAAAATATTTTCAGCATTAAAATTTCCTAGCCTCTTTAGTTTGATGTCAATATTGCAATATTTAATTTATGCTATCAATTAAATTAAATTAAAGTTTTCAAATACGTGGCAACCTTCCAAAAAAATATTTTCAGCTGCAAGCCTTTGTAAATTTCTTTCTTTTGACAGCCGTATTGCAGTATTCACTTTACCGTATCAATTGACCTAAATTGAAATTTTAAACACAGAAGGTAACTCTCTAATTTTTTCTTCTATATTGGAAGCTAGATCTCTAGCGATACATCGGTGAAAACTGCATTCAATTCCATGGTTTCACCTGATGCGCGTACAAATATACAGACAGACAGAGATTCAAAAATTCTAAAAATTGTTTATTTGGCTTCTGTAGCTTTAATAAAAACCCATCATATTAATTTTTCTTGAATATCTATAAGGTACAGACATCGACCTGTTACAATTTTATTATATATATAGATGTAGATATAGATTTCATTTATTTTATCAATTTAATACAATTAAACTTTTCAAACAGGTGGCAGCCCTCCCTAAAAATATTTTCGGCAATAAAATTTTTTAAACCCCTTCAATTTGATACCCATATTGCAATATTCAATTTTTCTTATAAATTAAATTAAATGTAAATTTTCAAACAGGTGGCAACTCTAAAAAAATATTTTTAGCTGCAAACCTTCTTCAGCCTCTTTCTTTTGACGCCCATATTGCAAAATTAATTTTTTCTTATCAATTTACTTAAACTCCAATTTTCAAACAGGTGGCAACTCTCTATTTTTTTTTTCTTCCTATATTTTAAGTTACCACTAGCAATACATCGGTGAAAACTGCATTCAAAGTTATGCATTCGTTTTCGGGTGATGCGCGAACAAACATACAGACAGACAGACAAAAATTCTAAAAATGGTTGATTTGGCTTGTGGTGCTCTAATAAAGAGCCCCCACATTAATTTTTCTTTAATATCAATAATGTACAGACATAGCCCTTTTACAATTTTATTATATGGGAGCTATTCTGCATTTCTTCCAAATTTTTAATTCATAGTCGTGCCACAATTTCAATTGAGCCCAAACGTCAAATCAAAATGTCACGCAACACAAATCTTGTAATTTGAGTTAGCTTTTTACGCACGCCGGTCAATTTCGGTTGGTCCCATACAAGTTGTATGTGCATGAGAAATTTTTTAAAGTAAACTGCCGCCGTGCGTGAATATTAGGTTGCCCTATTATGGTCTGATTATGCATACTTCGCATAACTTCGCACAACTTCGCATAAACTTCAAACTGTAATTTCGTATGTACTTTGTATGTTTTTTGTATGTATTCCATTACCCAGAAATTAGCAGAACTTTTAAAAACTTAGCGATCTGTTGAGTTTAGATTTGGCTTCACATTTTCTTAAGTTACACTTTTAGTGCACTGGTACAAATGGTTGTGCGAAGTTATG